TCAGAACAGCCACAAAAGGCCTCATTTCCCCGGTATCCCGTTTTGTCTCGATCTAAAACAGCGTGATGTTTGTGCCCATCGTATCCGTAGAGGTTCGGAGGCTGAGAGGATATCGCGGCTGAGTAATAAACAGGCCAAAAGTATTGTAGATTGATCATCGCTTTAGCACATTCTCATTGACGCCAACAAGGACCTTGTCTAGCTTGTCTTCTGCCATTGCTATTTTCTCACTCAAAATCAAAATGTCATAATCGGCTTCGATTGCTGAATACCCCCTAAACTTACAAATTATTGCAAAATTGAGTTTCTGGAAGCGTTGTCCCTGCTGGGATCGTTGTTGTGAATGTCGATCGTCTGGGGTTGACGTAAATAGCTCCACTGACGTAAGGTACGGGAAGCTCAAGGAGATCTCTCCTTCCAGATCGATGTCAAACAATCTCAGATTCAGGGAAACTTGAGGGAAGTACGAGTCAGAGACAAAGTTAATCGCAGTAGTTGCGAGCTATGAAGCTGTTGGAAGCAGAGGATCGACAGTTGGAAGCTTTTAATGGATTCCATTTATCGACGTCAGTTATTACCAGCTGACGTTGTTTTGTCGTGTCGTCTAATGGAGTGGGAAGGAGCGGAAGGTGACAAGAAGCATTCCCTCTTTCCTGATGTTATGATACGATCGTTAGGGCTCACCTTCCGCTCATGATACTTCTCAACTGCTTGCGCGTTCCAAATGCAGGGAGGTTACAGATTGAACTTATGCTTGACGCGCAACATGCATACCACGGCGACAGTTGATAGAACAATTCCTTTGTGACGCCCCTAGTGGGTAGCAGAAAAAATGGTGTTCTAAGCCTTGGGGTATAAAAATAAGTAGTCTAAGAGGTATAGCCTGAAGGGCATAAAGTGACCTACTAATTTCGTCTCTTATGCTTATAGCGGTCAATTTTTCTGATACCCTGAGGCGCCCCTGGCAAGTTTCTCTACGCGCGCAGATCACCCACGAAGCACACGGGATGGTGATCCCGATGCCATAGAAGACCGTCGGAGAAGGTCAACCCCCACGCAATTGCAAAAAGTTCCTACCTGGAGCAGTTTAGACGGAAATAGGGTACACTCTCAAACAATATACTCCTCCAAGACTGGTCTAATATTTATATCAACCACCAAATCAGCACTGATGAGCAATGATCCGGATTCCTGAATCAGAGCCGGAAATGCCATCCGAGCTTCAGGGCCAAATGACAGACAATGCGCTGTGCCTGCCGTCGGTTATATTGGTTTTTGACATCGCAATAGAACAATTGTAACCGTGCCATCGCCAAGTCGTTGTATGATAGATCCCACGCACACTCCGGCTGAGACCAAGATCTACCGCTCCAATCAGCCCGGCCATCACAGCGACCGAATTTGAGATCACGCCGTCCAGCATACAATGCCATTCCATATAATTGCCCACGTGCTTTACTCAGGTGATGAACCGCGATGTGGGACAAGTTTAACAGAAGTTCTGCCAACTGACTAACTACTACTACACAGTACCTGTATTAAGCCTTTTCAAACCGGCATGACACGTTGAACCTTTGTCAAGGCGGCCCCTGACTCAAGAGTGCAAGACAAATCTTCTGCTCTTGCCTTGTTTGTTCGTTTCCCCGGGGCCCCAGAAAGTCAAAGATAAGACATCTTGGCTGCTTGATAGCGGCCCGCAATCGCGATCCCTGAATCATCAGGGCGTGTCGTGTCGCAAGCGCCTTGAGCGATAACAGGAACGACAGTGCCGCAGAGAACAACAATGATCGCCAACGCCTTGACGTCGTCGACGTGAAAGTATCATTGTCCATCGACCAGCCAAAAGCGCCCATTCCAACCCCAGCTTTGAGTTGGGTTGCTTGACCCCACGAATGCCACCCTCCAGAAACAAAAAGCAGAGCATTTCTAGGCAGACAAAACAAGCCTAGCTAGAGCTGCCACACACACCCGCATTTAGGAACTTGGGGGGAGACGGACAGGGGGAGCGCACACGCCACCCACCCCCGGATTTTAGGTAGGTATGTGTGTACTCTAGCAAATCAACCATCAGACACCAGATATGGAAGTTTTATCAAAAATGGTGTTTCTTTTCGGTTCGCGGGCTTTCTCCTACACACCATTACACGCTTGCATCCGATTTCTATCACAGCTCTCATTCGCTCAGCGTTTTAGCGGTGAACTTGCTATACATTTCTCTACGGACTTGTGTTGCCGTGAGTTGACATTGGCCTTGACCTGGGGCCGACCGCTTTGATCAAATCGGCTTTCACCTTCAGCTTGTGCTTATCGCGCGGTCAGGGGCTTTCAAAACCACTCAGCCCACGAAACACAACCTAATTGAGAGGCTCCTCCACTAAAACAATCCAAGTCTTGTGCGTTTTATGTACCTTTGAAGGTGTGGTACATGGGGCGTATCGCCAGGTGCTATGCTCATTCACCGACCATCCCGGGCCGAGATACCTGAGCCCATTAGGCAAATGGCTCTCTTTGAACTTCACATGCTGAACTGGTTCGCAACAATTGTACGGAGATTGCCAATATTATAGAGATTTCACAGTATCCTAGGAGGCCACAGATGTGCGACTCGGTTAAGGACTGCCTCGTCTTACTTGCGCCCAATAGTACCTCTTCCCCTTGATCCGTACTGCAACAAAATCAAAATAGCTGCACCCCTGAACTTGGCCGGGCTAAGCAGAGACAAAGTCTTGGTTGGTATCTGAAGGACGCGTACTCATAGCCCATTGTACTACCTTGCAGAGACAGCTGTAGGACCACTTAACTCATTAATAAGGGGGACCACTGTACGGATACTCGTATCTATTAGGGGAGCATGTAATTCATTCGCCAGTAAAACTGCGAAGCTCTCACAGGCTGACGTGATGTGCTGAAAGCCAACTTGAGTCTCGAGGCGTACCAGTCAAAAGGCTCCCAGCTTGGTCGAGGTACCTGCTTTCCTTTCCTGACACAACGGGTCGTGGCTGGCTGCATTGCGGATCGTGGTCTGTTTTCTCTCTCTTTTTTGCTTTTCTGCGACACCACAAACACACCCCACGGGGAGAGGATCAAAAGCCCCCAGTCAAACTTTGGGGTATGGATGGTGCGCCTCCTTATCGATGATAAGTGATGGAACTGCAGCCCTCTAATTTGTGGCTTCCCAACTTTCCGATAGGCTTTGCTTAGCAGGCGGGCCTGCGTCCCGAAATTGTAATAAGCAAAGTTAGGGACAAACGGCCGCTGAGAAAGGCAACCACTTGCTGCGCCCTGAACGACCGGGAAAGGCTGATATCAGTATCCGTAGCGAACCATTAAAAAAAATTGTTGCCTGGTGTGTAAGTAAATCATTGGTTAATAAGCGCAGTGCATGGGTTGATAAGTGATAGATGAGAGAAGAGACAACAAGAGATTAGTGAGAGTGTGTGCGTGTTCAGTAGCCAATTGTTAGTGTCACCTGGCAATCTGTTTCTTTTCCATGTGATTACCACCACCATCAGGGCATTTCACCATCGGCACGCTGACACACAGGGGTTGAGAGAGATGGTGTGTACTGTGCTCAACTATGCGTATTGTGTTATACTGGGCTTGGATGATGCATATGCAAATGGTGGGGAAGAACGGCAGATGGAATTGCATGGCTAGCTTCTTTTTTTATTTATTAAAATAAATATTCCATCAGAAATGATGTTTTTTAATGAACAAATACACCATAGTATATATCGTCGGATGCGGTGACTGTCGTGTATGCCAAACGTCACTTCTAGCTACATCCAAGATGAATATCCTACCCCAGAAGATGTCTCCCGTGAACAACCCACCTGTTGTCAAACTCCCCGTCATATGACGGCATCCTGAGATCTGTCTGATCTGGCTTTGTCTAAAAAGGGGCCACTAATGAAGAGCGGTTTCCCGTCTTGGCCCCCAAGACGAAACAAGTCTGAATAAACCTTGACCAGTGTCTTTTTTCCCCTCAAACACAAAAAAAACATGCCGGCTTAAGAGCGCCCTCTTTTACCCCAGTGCTTTCCAAGCTTGCGGTTCCGCTCTGGAGGCTTCTGTCTATACAAGCCCTGATCTTCTCTCACAAGATAGCGTCATCGTATTCATATTGCTCAAGCTCTTGGATTCCCCGTGTCCACCTTTCCATCATTAATTAATCATGTTGCACACCATGATGATCCTGACGTCGGTCATTCGACTGAAGACTGTGCACCACGATGAACCACCATTCCAGACAATCATGCAAATCGCGGTGGGATAGAATGCGCGTTTGAAGTTTAATTGATACATTGGTACACAGTACATGCTGTAGCGTCTGTTCCGGAGCTTATCCTTGCGCCTTTTGTCTATCTCTATCTATCGCCATACATCATTCATAGTATTAGTTTCGTAATCTTCGAGGGCCAGAGGCACCCTAACACCCTAGTAGTTGTCTCTCAGAGCTGACTGGCTTGCTTTGCCTGAGCTAAGCTCAACACTGAAGCAAGCTACCATGTCAGACCCTGGCCGATCCATTATCAACTCCCCTCGTTGTAGATAATCCCCACAAGGAAATAATGTAGAAAGAAAATAGGACATATTGCATAACATTTGACATGTTCTGGTTGGAAAATTGTAACAGGAGTGAAGTTCTTTTCATAAAAAGTAGAGTGTAATGGATATCATAGAATTTTGTGACAGAGGAAAAATGTGGCCTCCGACGTCCCCCGAGGCAAGCCCGAGAGGGAAAAATCCAAGTGCTCCACAATCCGAAATCTAGTTTCCGCCGCCCCCCAAAAATGGGCCGGACTTGTTGCAACCAACCGTCCACCGCCCTGCAATGAAAATGCTTTCCGTTTCACAAATGCCGCCGTATTCCTCGCCGAATGCTCAGTTTGAGATGATGTAATTCGATTGCCTTGTAATGACCCGTAAACGCCGTTTCTTTCTATACCTCTATAACCCATAGTCGTCATCATATCATGGTTGCGATCCATGTCGTGTTCTTACATGCGATCCATGAGATCGCCGCCAGCCAGACTGCTTGTTCCTGAACTCCTGCCGCTGTGGCTGAATCCGTTATCAGAAAGAAGATCCTGAACAGCGACCTTGGGAACCTGAGGAACAGGGAGTTTGCGCTGAGATCCGTCAGGCCGGCTAATGATGTCCGTTAAAGAAATGCCGTTAGGGCGGGGCTGAGCGGTGGGTGCCGCTCCCTGCTGGAACTGGCTTTGCTCGAGATGAGGCTCCATAGGAGCTAGAGCAGGTGTTGTGTTGTGTTGAAGCGAAAGGTTTCGGAGACTAGGCAGCTCGTAGCCAGAAAAGGGCCGTAGGCGAGGAGAGTGAGCAGGGGTGGCGATTGGGGTGTGGTCAGGTGTAGGTGACAAGGAGTCGTGAGAAAATGTTGGTGATGAAGGAGCTGTGGAGTTAGGGGAGTTAGGCCTTGAGCGCTTAGCATGGCGCATAGAGCCGGAGTAGTGGTCGTCGTCGTCGCCTGAGTGAGAACGAGCCATATGGTAAGAAGAAAGCGTAGGCAGGTGGCCTCGAGAGCTGTGCATTCCGTGACCAAAGTAAGGGTGATGACGGTTGTTGTTGTGGTGGTGAGGAGGAGCTGTCAAGGTTTCGCGCTCAACCTGAGTAGCGGCCTTGGCCAGCATGGAAATGTCACCACCTCGGTTGTAGTGAACTGCAGAGGTAGGCAGAGCAAAGGTAGAGTAAGAGTGAGGAGGAGACACATTAGGCGAGGCCAAAGCAGAGCCAGGGGCAGAGCGAATCGTCTTGGGAGCGGGAGGCGGCGCCATCATTCCATCAGGAAGCATATGATGGGGGATACCCTGCTGGTGCATTTGATGCTGCTGCTGCTGGTGGGCTTGAGCGGCCTTGTTGCCTCGCCTTGAGTTTGGGTTGTTGTGGATGCGAGAGTGACGAGTGAGCTCATCTGATCGAGAGAACTTCTTGCTACAACCGGGGAACTGGCAGGCGTGAGGCTTCTCGCCAGTGTGAGTTCGGATGTGACGAGTCTGGTGCTCCAGACGATGGAAGGCCTTATCGCAGAGAGGGCACTTGTAAGGTCGGGGCAACTCATTGGAGTTCTCAGAAGACTGGCCGCCTGGAAGGGGTCCATTGGGCTTGATAACTGTCACTGCTGCTGTTGCCATCTCGACGTCTCCCTGTTGGGTTTTTTCGATTTCCTTTTCAACCGGTGCTGTGGGGTTTAGTAGATTGGAAAAATCCACGGCCGACTGTGCTCGTTGCATGTGATAAACGTCTGGAAGACCCAACGCTCAAATAAGTAATTGTTATTGAGGTTGGTTGAGCTGGAGAGAATCCAATGTGATTGGTGAGGTGTGATCGTTGGTGTTGCTGTTGTTGGTAGTGGTGTTTGTTCGTTGTTGAGAGAATGTACCCTTTGATTAAGTTATCGGAAGCTTATATGGAAGTGTCAAGTTCCGGGGAAGCTGGAAGATTGAATGCAGATGATATTTGGAGAGGACAAAAATCTGGAGGATGGAGGGGATGGGGGGATTAGATGGTTATAAAAGATGCCGGGCTCGGCACTAGAGTGCACTGCGACATCAAGGAACAAGAGGGAGGAGCGAATGGAGCGAGCCTAGGGTGGAGGGTGGAGGGGAAAGAGAGGGAACGAGGGACGGGAAGGGCTATTGCACACGCCCCCTCCATGCAGTTGCACACCCTCTCACCCCACGTCCGAGGACACCCACAATGGCTTGTATATACCTGCTGAGTGTACCTGATGAGAGGGCAGTGTCCACCCTGTGGAAAGAACGAAAAAAAAATTACAGAAGGGCAGCGCTGGGAAGGGAAAGTCACTCGAGGGCTGCAGAAGGCTCGGTGCACCGCTACAGGGGAATGTCCACTGATTCCAGGTAGTCCCCGTGGGCGGCATCCCGCTATTGTGGGCTTTCTGTCAATTTTTTCCTTCTTATTTTCTCGCTCTTCTTTCTTTTCACATCTTGGACGATTCCTCCTAGGGGTTCACCCACTACATCCCAGGGGGTGAGGCTAAAGCCTGGCAAGTACGGGGCGTGGAGCTCAGTAGCTGCGGTTTTGGGTTATGTTCCTGCCCCTCCACCTTTTCCTTCTCTTACCCCGGCGGGAGAAGCAGGAGGCTCCTTGTTCCAGAGCCCCAGTGGTACTTCTATTGGAGCCCCGTTCTTCGGGCCTTATCCTTGGGGGCATTAACGGGGCGAGCAAGATGAAGAGTCACAAAGGACAGCTCAGTCAGCTAAGCACCAGCACCAGCACCAGTATCAGAAGCAATAACAGCTGCGTAGGTCTGCATGAGGGAGGGACAGCTGTCTCATGCTCAATGCGACCTCTTGGTTGAATGTTGCTCAACCATAATCATATCGTCATCTCCCTGTCCCCTAGCAGTGTGACGATAAAAAATGATCTCCCGCTACTATCAATATCCTACCCCAAAGGCAAAATAGAGCGAGTCATACCTTGTCGGGGCGACACGGGCCTGGGGACGGGTAAACTGGGGAATTCTAGTGCCACGCCTTTGAGAAAGTCAATAGGGCACCCCTAGGTAGCCAACTCCGATATTCCCCATCACGCTTTTTCTCTCGCTCTCTCAACGCCTCGGCTTTGACGTCCCGACCGCCGACACTGTCTTTCACCTTGCACCTTTTTCTGTTACTGATGTGGGGGTTACCTCTTCAGTCCTCTGGTTGGTCCGCTTGATGTACCCATTCTTTCTGGTCGCCAATGCCCGAAGAAGCTTGACGGTGAGAGTTTTCATAACCCCACTTCACCGTGTCTTTCTCCGTTCAAAGCTTTGCGCTCTTACTTTTTTACCGGCCCGGAATATGGGGCATTGTGCCTTTTTCCCATCGTGTCGTGCTTGACTGATTGGCCTTCATTTCTCCAGCGGCTCCGTCTCTGTCTTGGCAACATTTTTTTTATCTGATTTTTCTTTTAGTGTATTTTGCGACAGTCGCATTGACTCGTGATGTTAGCTTTTACAGTCAACCTCGGGTTACTTGTATTAGCATGGTATTTTAAAATCTACTATGTCAAATATCGTGTTAAATGAAAGAGAATTGTTGCACAATTGTATTCAGATCACTTGTGCTGATTATTAGGCATCTTTCCGTTGTGTATGCAATGTGCTCTTGTCATGCTCTTTGGCTCAGTAATCAGTAACCAATGTCGTGATAGAGTCCAATTGTACGTAATCGCTCGTTTGTAACGTCGGACCTGTACTTCCAGCTCCATGCCTGTCTTCATCATGCGATATTACACGTCTTGTACCTGCCAATTGCAACAACACCGCAGATAACTGTCAACTGAAAACGCAACATGCTCCCCCAGTCACTCTCCTTTACTCCATCTCGTCATGCTAAGAATCATGCTACGATAGCTACCTACCAACCCAGCCCTGAGCTACACTACAGTGGACCTGCTACTACAGTACTCATGGATCTTGTCCGCATATGGAGCTCACGATGCTTCAAGGTGACACTCCACTCTCCGACCCTGATTGGCATCGGTTTCCCTTTCAGTTGAGATTAGTTTTTCTCATCTCGGCACTACCACTACGGTCCGAGATGGCCAGTCTTCTAGCCACGGTACTATCATATTATTTTCTGGATCTGTCCCACTGAAGTACGAATAATAATTACAATTTTTTTTTACCCCAGAAGTCCACTCACACTTTTCTCCCCAGATTTGAGGTAATGATCCTCATGCTGTGCGAAGCCAATGCCGCCGTGGCTGCTAATGTCAGAGACTGTTCTAGGCCAATTCCTTGAACATCTACTGTGTATCCTGCCATGTCATGTAGCCATGGTGTGGTTTGTCTACGGTATCGCTCGGCTATTTACCGCACAGCCTGCGTTCCATCCATCCATCCATCCATCCATCCACCCACCCACAACCAGGTACTTTGTCCTGTAGTCTATAGATAACCTTGAGAGCTAGGTAGGTCAAGTGTGGGGTTGGCGCACATCCGGCTAATCACTCTCCCAGCTGATCATGATAAGCACATAGCCGATCCAATATTGGCTCAGGTAGATGATTTCTTGTCTCAATGCTTGGTCTCATATCATATGACAAAGCGAGACCAGCAATCCCTTGATTTAGTCAATCCTGCTAGTACGAAATATGCTTTCTGTATATGGGATTATCCTTTGCTCTGGCATAAAATTCCTGGCGTATCAAACCAAGAGCTGGCATATGCACCGGGCAGGATTGTTTGTATAGTAGTTAATCATTCCCACAGGTTTCAATTCCTCAGACCAAATAGAGAACAACTCCCCGCCAGCCAAGAAACCCCCAAGATTTTTCTGGGTATGCACGAGACCGATCGGCAAATCGCCAGTTGCGACTTCAGTTCAGTGGTGCTATCTCAATCCAATTTCTGTGTTGGGTCCAATATAATCGGACCATTCACCGCGACAAGCGCGCTCCCCAGAGTCTTCCGTCTCAAGCCGTCGTCTGGGGGTGGAATACTTGTTCTTGGCATTATTCAGGTTCTTTCTTATCATCTGTTGTTGATGGTTAGTCTTCTGTGACACTCTAGGGGCTAGACCGTTTGATGAGCAAAGATAACCCCAAAAGTAGACGCCCCCATGGGTCGAAATTAGGAGACATGCTCTATTAACATGACAGTTGATCTCGGTTCCTCAGCTTGTTGGCTTAAATTCGCCTCCCCCATTTTCCCCATCCCCGGATAATCACCTCTTTCTTGTCGCTTCTGATTTGCTCCTAAGCGGCCCAGAAAGAGCCGCCCCCATACAATCTCCGCTGTCGACCTCATCACGAGATAAGTCGAGATCCATTACAGAGTATGTATTTCAATCTTGACTTAAAATGGTAGCTTGCCCCTATACAGTCCTACCTTGGTATCTATGGCTCCAGAATACGGTCGTTCGTTTTGGTTAAACCTGCGGCTCAGTGGATATGGTAGTGTTCCCCAGATTCCACGTCTAATCAGAGTTTTGGTCTAGTTGCCAAATCTGCTTACGCTTAGGGGCGCCTGGAATTTCAGAGGCAATCACAAAGGGTGTGGAAAGTTAAAAAAGAAAGGGCAAAATGCCGATATGGTATTCGAGACCCTCAAGGATGAGAGGAATCCCAAATAGTCAGGAGCTTCACGGACAGAGTCCAGAAACAGACCCTGAATTATCCATAAACAGCGCTGCCCTTGCACCTGTTTGTGCTGTCGTTTCGCTTACTGGTACGGTAGAGGCATTGTGGCCTGTCAGAACTATTGATCCTGGTACGCCACTTGATCGTCTAATTCTCTCTTTTGCTCGACGGCCAACCACTCAAGCTAGTTTCTAAGAACAGATAAGGAAATCCGGACCCCAAATCAAACCCCAGGAAGTGGGAGGCTCTGTGCTCCATCCTTCTCCAGCTTCCCCTTGTGCGATGGCGTCCTAAACCCGAATGCTTGATGCTGTGTGGTCAATCAAGTCCGGCTAAGCTTTATGCGGTAATTCCGGGGCAAATGATCTAAGATCTCATCCTAGTGTTCGGTGATTCGGAACGGTGAATACCGCCTGCATGGAAGAATCTCGTCGACTTCGGCCCGGAATTCAAATGCCTTCCACGTTTGCTCTGGTCTGATGCATGTTCCAATGCATGTCCTGGCAATGAGCGCTTGTTTGTTTGTTTTTGTATGTATGTATGCTAGACGCCATGTCTCGATGACAAAGAACATCGAAACATATTTCGGTGTCGTGTAGGACCATGGCGGTATCTGAGGCATTAGACTGTTTCCAAAAAGACGAACGGAATCCATAATGATACGGGCTTGCCCAGCGTCCGTAAAGACGAGCATTGGCCTTTAGTCACAATCCGCGGACCCTGCCCCTGAACTTAGAACGAGAGAATTTTCTATTCCGTCGATTCTGACGGGAACTTTCCACGATTCCGTCATTCTATGCATACCATGCATACCATGCATACCATCTATTAGATGCGGCTATGCTTGGCCAGTAACTATTGAAGGTGCTGTTGGTATGCGTGATGTAACATCTGTCAATCGCATCGGCAAATACCCTAAACCCGTTCAGACCTGACTACCTGTTCAAAGTTATTGATAACATTAGCCCTGAATGGCGTCAATGCTGTCAGTCTAGGCTCTGGTTTGGGTCCAAGTCCACCGAGCAAATAGCCGAATGAGCCTGTAAAGGCCCGAAAACACCAAGGGGCAGGTCATCTCGGTTCGGATCTGAATTACTTTCGTCGTCTAGATTGAATTGTCATACTCCACGTGTTACGGCAATTGGCCTATTTATTACTACATTAGTCAGAAACCCACCATTTACTTACTGTACCATCCAGGTACGTATAGCATGTGCAGATATCAACCGACAGTTTTGTCTTGGAGAACTGTTGGCGGCCAGGCTTACAAGAGGCTCCCCTCTATAAATCCAAGGGTCTAGATCTCTAGCCAACAGAAAGGCAAGCTTTCGCGGGGCTCCAGCTTTTTGCATGCACAAGCGACGGGGCGCGCGCCGACGCATTTGTATGTTCCTTGCAGATGGCCTGCGGCTCAATGATGGCTCGACTAATCCAAATAAAGGAGGCCAGAGTTTCCTTATCGTAGGCGAGAATGACGGGTAATTTGGCAGGACGGCTGAATTCTTGCACAACACAGAGTTAAGAGCCTAATGAGACTGGAGTTAGAAGAATCTTCGTCTTGCCCCAAGCAGAGCTGGCATTGTGACTAAAACCTCGCATGAAGACCCTGCCATGGGTGTATGATACAGCAAGCCAATTGAGGCTTGGCAGCGTGCGTGCCATCTCAAATTCTGTAACTGATACCACAGTTATCCTTCCTCTGTTTTTGCATTCCGGTTTCGACCGAGCCGTATACACACTGTCTTGGTTGGTGATTGCGCACAGTTGGTGCACAGTCAGTCGCAGTCTCGGTGCTTCTTGCACGCTACCTTGATTCCGACCCATTGAGGTGGGCCATACGACGCGTTGATTCACTGATAGGTTTCGCCGAAATCACCTGTTTCCCCCGTAATACTCGGTGCATCGTACGGGTAGTCAAGTCTTGATGTCGCTGAGCCCCTCTGTGAATCTTGAAGGACCTTCTCATCCTGGTTCCATCAGGGTCTTCTGAACAGATGTCCAACAGTTAGCTAGTAGGGCATATCGCCGTATCTAGCCGTGTGAGATTGTTTGTGCACGGTTACTCTGAACGCCTCACTGTTGATGTTCTTAAGTAATGGCAAAACTCCAGATAAACTCACTAAGGAACCAATTTTGCCCACAAGTTACACGTTGACGAGTGTGGAGCTGGGTAGAGCTTCAAACAAGTGAGCCTACTTGAAGCTAAGGGCTTTTCTGCGCATGAAGGAGACCCTGCTCAGCAATGCAGGAACTCGAAACCTTGATGGGTACGCGGGTGCTGGGTACAAGCATGATTGCAACGTGATGCAAGCACCGCTCTGCCCTTGGATGAGAGAGGAGTAAACTCCAGTCCTGCTTGGTTGCATTCCCTTCACAAGAGACGGCGGCTCTCCTTATCTTTCCACGTTACCTTCGCAAGGCACTTTTTTATCATCACCCCCCAGATCATGAACCCTGTGACAAGAAAAATTACTTTTGCTCATTTGCTGGGGCCAGGAACACGGGGGATGGGGTAGCGCCAGCTTCCCCACAGGATACTCCCGCAGTGAGGCTTGATCTTGACTTAGTGAGTCTAGGCGGCGTTAGGAATGGGCGGCATGACCAGATTTGGTATGTCAAGATCGTCTGTTGCTTGAGTCAAGCTGATCTACCGTGGCAGATCATCTCACGATATCTGGTCTGCCTGGCTCCTGAATCGGAGAGGACGCACGATTAACTCCACATAACCATATCAGTTGCCTGCGCTGAAGCTCCGTAAGCTCTTTCTTTTTGGTGCTTGCTTGCGTGTGCTAGTATGCATGTATGTGTGTTCAGCAATGCATTAAACCCTATAGCCTGAATTCCTAATTATGCAGTCGCCTATAGACGCTCAGAACGGAGAATGACAACTCACTATAATCGCCACTGCTCATTGATAATCACACGTATTTGCCACGCCGATTAGAGATTCATGTCACGATCATCACATTTGACAATCCATAAACCACTTTTCAACCCTCCTTCAAGTTTGAGAACGGAGTAAAAAGAAATGATCAAAGCATCTAAAGATGAAGTCATTATCCTCGTTGATTGTTCACTGTCCGAGTTCGATTTTTCGTGAGTCGAACCCGCAGTAACTCTAGGCAGCCTACCAGTTAGACATTTTGATATGGACTTCTCCAGATGTGAATGCATCACGTGATTGACCGCCAATCGTACGTGAGAAAGCTACTAAGCCAGGCAATCATTGTTAGGAAAGGGAAGATCCACACTTACGGATGGTTCAGCAGGTGAAGGACGAAGACGAATCCAGCATCGACATGAATATTGAGGATGGATTATCATGCGATTCACGGTTATGATAGAGCAAGCTTTGACACACCAAGCACACGTCAGTCTTAAAATACACACCTGGATACAGAGCCCAAACTTACTTTAATAGACCGACTACCGACAGTATCAGCTTCACAGGCCCTTGACGACATTGGATGTGACGCGTCAACTCACATACCAACTGGTCTCGAAAGCCTGGATCGTTCACTCCTAGGTCCTGTAGCTTTCGACTCGCAAGATGCAGCGGTAAAAGGTGGTGTTCAACGAGGCCAAGTGACAGAGATTTGGGGACCTCCGGGTTCCGGCAAGACAGCATTGGGGTATGTTTACTGCCATTGTATGACTATATTATGTACCTGACATATGGCGAAGCCTACAGCTTACAGCGAATGCGCTATGCAATGGTGATGCAGTAGTCTGGATAGGTCGGTACTTCTACTCCCAGACATGTGGTTGTTGCTGACTTGCATTGCAGATTGCTTTCAGGCTCTGCAGCGAGACAGGCTGAGGACGGTAACAAAAGCTGCCCAAGCTCGTCGAAATGGTCCATCATCCACAGAAGTTGAGGCAATACCAGCTCGGGAGGTTGATGCTTCTCAATTCTACCAGTACTCCTGTTTTACACTTCCTCATTTGATTTCTCTCGTGTCGAGACCTACGACAAAGCTGATACCTACGAATACTTCGCTTGTAATAATCAGTTCATTCTCAGCACTGGTCAATTCAGCTTTGCCTAAATCTAATGACGGCAAGTCTACTTCTACAGGTAGCAAAGGTATGACCAAGTTTCAACGCGTGCGGTGGTGTTGGCTGACGTTTGTGCAGGTCTTAGTCCGTTAGTGAAACGCAGACAGGCATTGCAATCAATAATGAGTGCACTTCATAAGCTCGCAGCGACTAGGAATTGCGCGATCGTCGTTCTGTCTCAATGTGCAACCAAAATGCACTCGGAGAGGGGTGCAACACTCACAGCCGCAATCAATGCCAACGTATGGGAACAAGGCATTTCGACCAGACTTGTCACGTTTCGGGACTGGGTCTGGCAGGAAAATAGTCTCACGAGCGTCTTCCTCGCAGGCCTGCAGAAAGTTGATGGTAGAGTATGTCAGGAGGCTGTGGAGAATACTGTCGCATTTAAAGTGGAGTTGGTATGTTCTACCAAGCATCAAGACTTCAAGCAATCGTTACTAAACATGATGACAACAGGACGGTACGGCCCAGGTTCCCTATGAAGCGTTACAGTCTTTCGAATTAGCCCGGAATAAGCGAAAGCTTGGAGAAACCGAACTCGAGGTGCCAGACAGTGAAGATGACGAGGATTACGGATGGGCAGATGAAGACGAAGCGGCCATGCCGGCGCCGCCACCCCAGTGGCAAGGCAGCGAAGACCTCATCTTAGGTCAAGACGTCGGACATAGCGAAGAAGAGAACAGCGAGCACGACGAGCCTGGCACCGACGATGAATCGGACACGAAATGAGGCTCTGAATGGGACCGATGGAGTCTGGGGATTGTTGGGGATAGTTTCAACGCCGGTAAAGCGCCGACAATGACGACCGAGACCAGACGGAGGACGGCCTCGCCAGGTATGGGCAGAGCCTCATAACGGGACGGAGCACAAAACCCATCCCCACGGAGCGAAATGAGGAAAAACATGAGTCCCCTCTGCCCCCTTTATCAATTAGCCATGACGGATCCGCATTGAACAAGAAAACAACGCAAACTGGGATTGTATAGAGCCACAATAAAGCCGCACAACAAGCTTGCTAGGCCATAGTCGGCATGCCAAGCAGCTTCGGACAAGTCCGACAGTAGTCTGATGAGGTTAAGCATCGTGGCCCAGATTGTGGTTCGTGGTTGGAAGTATTTCGTCATGCCCCGTGTTCCCCCAGACTAGGGCAGGCTTCTGGAAGGGCGAGAATTTTCTCTTCTGACAAAGACCCCAGGTCTCGGATCACCCAAACGAGCCTAGTTGCGTTTTGGGATTTCTCCATCCAGAACAGAACAGGACAAGCATGGACAACAGCTTCACGGCTGGCGGAGGTTTTAGACTCTGATAGCGATAAGGTGACGCCTGAACGTGCGTGCTCCGCCGGCCCGGTCGTTCTCTGGAGAGAATCTACAAGTACCTACAAGTACCTACGGGGAAAAGGTACTTACGTGCGTGTCTCTGCCCCCCAGGTTTTGTAATGCCACACCACCTTGACCCCTTCCCAAAGCGACAAGTCTTATTAGATACCTTGATCCCCAAGGTTTTGTCTAGCACGTACAACCCTTTGGATTTGTGTCATTGACGGTGGCGATTTTGCCCAGGAAACGTGGATACGCAACCCCTTCGGTTCAATGGCAAATAGCTTAATGAAAGAAGTTCGGGAGAAGACGCATGGAAGCCATGAATGAGTCGGCTTAATGACGCATTGGCTAAAGGTGGACTTTCAACAATTATTCTGCTGCAGCTATTCGTATTCCAATCAATGGCAGCCCTTACTCCATAAGTAAGATTTACGCTGCATTCTTAGTTGGAGGTGCTACCAGATTCCGGCGCATTCAATGCATGAGATGCACAATGCAAACCCTGCTGTTTATCCTCGAGTTACGGATACGTCTAGGTGATGTTGAAACCCCAACGTCATCTGCTGTTGTGGAGGGTTGAAACTCCGGCATCCAATGATGAGAGCATGCGTGTTGTTTTAGGAGTGGGCGTTGTAGAAGGGCTAAGAAGTATCATACATGTGGTCCAGCCAGAGTCAGCATTGCGCGTTCATTCTTTGACAAATCAATCACGAACGTTTATGGCGGCTATCTGGAGGTGAAGCAAAAGAGAAGAGAGAAAATTTTAACACCCATGTCAGGTCAGGTACCAGGGGTCTTGGAGATTCAACGGGTTTGCGCCTGCGGGTTTTTTATCACACACCGCCGCTGTGGCTTTCTTCATTGAATTCTCGCCAATGGCTTGGCTTTGTTTTGATGCAAAGAAGAAACGGGATGCGCACTAGTACAACTTTGGGCGTGCCAGATCTCACGATCTAGGATTCACACCAGTTGGGCCGAGATGAGACTGGACCACTAGCTATGGAACTGAACTGTAGTGGTGCCGAGACATGTCCGCAGTCGCAAAAATTTGCTTGCCTTTGCTCGGATTTTCCATCGCAGACACAGACGCTTGGTTAGATCTATTTGCGACCCACTACCCCGTATGTGTTGTACAACTTCCAATTTGGAGTTCAGTGGGTAGTTGCAGGCCCCCATGTTTGTCTCTACGATGAACGAATGTGCTCACTACAGCGAAGTCATCGTTCATCAAACGTGGAAGGCGATGGTGTCTCTTTCAATCTTGAACATCCTAAGATAAATTTAGGCTAGTTATCCTGTCTCTCGGTTCTGATCCAAGACGTCTCGGATCAAACTACGTACAAGACGTTTTATCCAAGTGTGGATGAAACATTATTCATCGTCAACGTTAGGATATTTTATGCAGAGCACTCACTCTCGGACGATTATCCATCAGCATGGGCCGATGAAGCGGATACTTTTAGTCCGAGAGATCCATCTGCAGCAGTTGCTGCTTTGCTTCTCCTTCTCTGTATGAGCTTGTGATAGATACGAGCCTATGTGCTATAACGGTGAAATTTTTGTTGGGCTCGACAATTCAAGCCCAGCGATGGGACTGCCTCAGTCATTTTGTACAACTGAAAAGAGTCGGTGAATTGCCCCAAAGTTGGTGCAAGGCGAACCCCGTGAGATGTGGGATGTTGAAGCAAGCGCCCTGACCAGCTTCTGGCCTGATCTTCATATGCCCCAGGATCTGTATTTGGAGCTGTCCGTCCTCCCCAATCACACGGCTTTGGTACAAGCTACGCCTCCGTCTTGGGTACCTTAAATCGGCATATGCGCGGCAGATGGTGGGCGATCTTGCTACGTAGACCCCACGAATATGAGATGATGCAGTAAAAATCTTTCCACTTCCCCTCTTCTGTTTTGCTTTATTCCCCGGCCACATGTGTGAATGTGGAAACATGCCTTATATCAATGTCTGGGGAATTTCATAGTCTGGGCAGGGCCACAGCGAGAGGGCAAGATCGCATGATGTTTGTCTGAAAACGCCAAACTGTACGGATATAATCGTATCATATCATCCTGGGTACCATCCTCGGCACTCAATGACGAACATGATTTGTAACCATTGCCGGGCAATATGAACAATTGTGGCCTGGAATGCGTGATAAACGTTCCAAAGAGGATGTTCCGGTTCGTTAACCACCGGCATTGCGGCATATGAGCCGTCTACACGCTGCGATTGCCTATCCGCTTTGTTCCCAAACTCCCCGTCAAATGGGTGAGGATTTAATCCGTACTATGTACATATCCGGAGGATATTGATCGTCAATACGCTCCTATATCGATATGTGTCCACCTGGTCCTGGACTACGTATTCTTATAATTCATGGTTATGCAGTCTGTTGCATCGTAACTGTGATTTGCTACTCTAGTAAACTTCTGCGGCAGACTGTCGTAAGTTCATTGCGGAGTAAGATAGGTCGCCTCTTTAAATGATGTTCTCGTATGCCACGATCTGTTTCTTGATCAACTAATTACTCGTACTAACTGTGGTTATGTGACGTCTATACTGATGATCATGATGTAAGAAGCGTACCTACCGGGCACAGTGCTATTCTAGTCAGGTTCCGCGTACCGTCCGTCAGTGTGTATATTGGCCTCATGGGGGAGTCGAATTAATATTCTTCTAGTCTTTGGAGACTTGGAAGAGCATGGATCGGACGCCCGCGCTTGGCCGATTCACTCCTGTGCATGCATCTGCTTCTCCTTGTCTGGTCTTGTTTGAGCTTATTCTGTCCGGAACCATGTCATCTACTGGCAAGGAATAGCACACAGCGTTGGATCCTAAAAACACCTTGAGATTTAGAAAAAGGCGAAGGCTGATGGTATCAAGAATCTTTGGTATGCCTTGCTTATATCCCAAGCATGCTGAAAGGCCCATTTACTTGGTAGGGGAAGGGTTTACTCATAGGTTAACTAAGGGACAGGAAGATTTAACATGCATGTGTGTCAATACACTGTCGGTCTTTGCAGTAAAAAATAAGCAGTGATCTCAACATGATCCCAGAAGTACAATAGTAACATGAGCGGTAGACAGAGGGGAGTTTATAACAGCCCTCGGAAAGTGTTTACCTCAGAAGTCACGCCAGGCTTGCCTCTGTTACCTGTAGCTTCGCATATAAGTTTATTACATGCAAATATAGGGGAATTAATACAGCTACATATTAGCAGGAGCATCAGTTATCAAGCAAGTTGACCATGAGTTATTACGTGTGTCTTCAAATCATAGTTCTGTTGTTTTGAGGTTGATCTGCTGGATACGCATGGTATAGGGTAGTGACCTTTGAGGGGATGTGTAAGCCGGGAACGGACAATCTGCAGGCCGATCGATAACCTTTGCTCTGATACAGCAACCTTATTGGCCAACAATCTCATCGCGACTTCCACCTTGGCTTCACGTTCATTTTGATTGAGGCAAGTAGCCAAGCTTGAGTTTGGCTCATCATCAACCGTCTCACCTCATCAATCGGCATTCCGTGACGGGATCATCTCATATCGGAAGGTCTTCTAATGCAATTTCCTCGAAGTTGAAGTGCAAATCGTGGTGGAACGCAAAGTGGGTGAGATAACAAAGAAGGTTCAGGTAAGATCATATTTCTCGTGCCACCTTCTCAAATACACCCGTCAGCACGTATTGTATTGCACACAGCATCGAACCCTTTCATTGTCGGCAAGATTGTTTGTTGTAGAGACATTTTGCTTGTGAATTAGTATAATGACGCTGACAGCCACACTCACATCACTGTTTGATGGTATGTGAATCGATCTCAACGCTAACTACTGATACAGAGCAGTCTCAACAATTGTCTGCATAAAAAAACTCCATCCTGCACTGAGAACCCCATTATCGACTACGAAATATTTTTGGCGACACCGTGACTTCACGATGTCTGAGAATCAAACACAGACCCAAACCCAGGAAGTCGACGTCCCGGCCGTGAAGGACACCGAGAATGTAATAGCTGACAAGAGGAAGCCATTCTCCTGGCTGTACGTTTGGCAGGTACCGTCTTACTACGAATATGTGTTGATATCAGTGATAGCGAACCGCACCCTATCTTCGTCATCATTCTCGTCGGCCCCGAGGAAGCTCCCTTTGGAATCCAGAAAGATTTCCTCTGCTCTCGATCCGAGTTCTACGAAAAGCTCTTTTCCACCGCGGAACAAGAGGAGAAAATTGAGCACATTATCAAGCTTCCGGAGACGACGAAGGAAGTTTTTGGTCTCGCCCAGCACTTTCTCTACACAGACAAAGTCATTTCGGATGAGTCTAACGTGCCATCTTACGAGGCTCTTGTCGGTCTCTGGAAGTTGGGTCACAAACTCGGCATCAATGGGCTTTGTGACAAGGTTCTCAACGCCATGATCGATTGCCGTCGCATTACAGAGACGATCCCGGCTACGCCACTTCTCATTCAAGTATGGAAAGACACACCTGAGGGCTCGTCAATTCGGAAGCTGCTGCTCTCATGGACTGCTGAGTATATGAGATCTTCGGATGCCAGAGCAGAGTTTGCCAAATCACTCCCCCAAGAGGTTCTCAGTGAGCTTGTTGTTGCCATGAGCTCCTTCGACACAATCCCTACACCAGAAGAGCCACCTGCTACCGTCACTCTCCCATCAGTGACGCCTCGAAAGAACGTCCATTATCTCGAAGATGAGCCCGGGAATGAAGCGAAGAGGAGTAGGCGTGTGAGTGGTATCTCGATCGGCACTACTGTGTCAGCGGATCGATCAATCAAGGCTCGTGGCTCTCTGCCTAAGCCTGCGCCCAGACGTAGGACCAGCGCAGGTTTCACAGAAGGCAGGGACTTTACTACATCACAGAAGCTCGAGTTCTGCGCCGACCTGCTCACTCGCATGCTCTCTGGTCCTGGTTTGTAATACTGGATATATATTTTGCATAACGAAACTAACTGCTACGTAGGGTTCTGGACTAGACTTGTTGGCCCATTCAAAGATGCTGTCGAGCCAGTCGAGGATGGCGTGCCAGACTACTTCGAAAAGGTCAAGCGACCTATGGATCTAAGCACGATCAAGTTCAAGATGGACCACAAGGAGTACAATAACGAGGAAGAGTTCTTGACGGATGTCCGTCAAATCTTCGACAACTGTTTCACGTACTGGAAGAAGGGAGACCCTATGTGGATTGCAGGAGAGAAGCTTCAGAAGACATTCGAGGACAAGTTTTCTCATATGAACAAGTGGATCTCTAAGATGGGTGGTGATGAGGCTGAGTAGGCTAATTCTCAACTCCAGCTTGTTAGTAGAGAGACTCGTCGCCGGAGCCGGAGCTGTCACAAGCCAGCAACGCCCGCGGAAGAGTACCGCCAAACGTTGCCATATTATTTAGCATGAAGATGACTCCTCATCACTTGTAGAATATCTTTTGGGCTAACTGTCGATTCGATGGGAACGAGACAGGTGATGGGATAACATAAGGACATGGTTAATGTACTTGTGCACAGGGTAACCAGCTTTCTTACAAGTTCCATCTGTGACCCATGGTTCAGGGGGGGCTTTATCAAAGACTACGGAGTATGGTTGTTTAGAATGATAGTAATCTCACGAATATGTACTCGCTGTGCTGTATTTTCGCTAGAGCGTGAGCAAGGTCTTCGATCGGCGAGCTAGCTGATGATCCCAAAATTTGACAGCGTCCAGTGGAATTAGACCGAACGCCAAGATGATAGATGTAACGCGATCTCGAGAAAGCACTGGCTTGAGACGAAGACTAATAATCTGCTTTTGATTAGAGCACTTCAGATGCGGTATTCCGACGGTGAATCAGTTTGTACATAGATGGAAGCAACTGAGGCTGAGATGGCGGGAGGATGCATGACATGTGGTAAAGCAGTTGTTTCTCTTGGACAATGACATCGTGTCAACCCTGCCCAAAGAAAGATACGTGTTTATGTCTGCTTGTTTCGTTTAAAAATTGACAGTCATGCATGTAACCTTGGTCCGTTAAAAGATTGCTGCATGAAGCCAATGATGAGTTGTCAGTGGGTTTGTTTCTACGTACAATCTTGGCTAGGTATGTAGGTAGGTATCTATCTAGGAAGTAGGAAGTAGTCATGTACTGATCAAGAACAAGTATTCCCTCACGACATCGTCATTGAAGCTATGCCCTAGAAGCCACGTTCTGGTACGATCACGATGCGAACAGGTTAATCAATTAGTAAAAACACACGGACAATGAATAAACCAGATACATAGCTTAGCTCTAGGTTAGTCTAGGGAACCGACTCATAACACAGACCATGATTGAAATTAGGATTACCACTGACGCTGCTAGGTCCAGCCATTGAAACCCTGTCGATTGACTGGTTAATAGCGCATGACCTGGTCTTGTTAAATAACCTGAAACTCAGGCCGGCCAAAGAGAGACGAAGTTGATTGTGTATCCTTCATGGATAGTCCACAAGAGTTTTTGGACGGTAAAGTGCATTTCATGATCGGCGAATATCTTTAGTATGGGTCAGGTAGTTAATATTCGATTAATTGTCATATTTTTCTTTCATTAATTCGTTGTCGCTCCATGTGCATTGCCAAGGGCTTGTTTGGTTCCTGCATCAGGTGGCTTTTTAGCGCAACGGACCTCGGCTAGCAGCTGCAGCTCCCAACTGGACCCCTGAAGCCACTTACCTGGACGGCTCCTGACCACTCAGCGAACATGATGGGTGACATGCCCCAGTGCGCAGGTCTCAGGTACCTGCCGTAATGGGTAACCTTATCTTTTTACTGTCTTTCTTTCCATGCAGGAACAAAAGAAAAGAGACAACATTTGTTTACGTTGACGTCAAGAAGGAGAGTAGTATGCCGCTGACAAAGGGCACGCCAAATTTCGATTTCTACTTAGTTGGTCTTGTTATTCCAAAATTGTGCTCTCGTAGACTATAACCGGGTAGGGCCAGGCTTGGGTCTTGGGATGGAGCAAGTGGGCGGCTAATTAACCTCCAGAATCTATCAATCCATTAGTTTATTGTGCTAATGAGTTGTCATTTGACTGGGCTGGTGATCACCCAAGAAGAATCAGGTTGAAGAACATTGCGAACAGTAGCGAAATCAGTTGAGCCTTGACAGAGCAGAGCTGTGTCCCTTGCTGATCTGAAGTAAGGCGACAGCTGCGCCTACTTATATGCTATTTGTATAGCCCTACCTGCGTTTCAGTACAGACTCTTTGGCCATGCGTTCAAACATCTTTCTGAAGAGCTGTATCAGGTCTCGATTACCGCTCGGCCGTAATGGGCATGGTGATTTTCGAATTGTTCCCGGCGCGAGTAGGGATTGATTATTGGTGGCGATGGAAGACAACCACCATGGATAGGTATGGGTATGTTAAATTAAAAAAGCTGGATTAGGGGGTTCCCTTGTCCCTGTCAACACCGGGAGAGTGCTTGTCCTCCGTCTTGCACCAGCCTATCATGGTTACGGACCCCGTCCCCATCTTACCAGGGAAGGAAGGGTCAATATTTTGCTTCCCGAGACGTCCTTCCTTAGCTTGGCGCGCACCTGCCCACATAGCCACACAGGTATTTACTTACATGAGGGCCCCCATCTCTCTCTACAACCTCATCTTTGGATCTTCTCTCACCATCCTCTTCGTCCGTCCTTGTCGTCGTCTTCGCTATCCATCCTAGAGAATCGTTATTTCATCGATACTCATTCCGCTCTTTAACAACAACAACGAACCTATCTATCATTGATTCTAGTTTTGTCTAGTATCTTATTCACTCGCTTGCTGCTCTGCTCACTCAATACGAAACCTTTTCTCCACTACCATTGTTATACCCTGTTTGTGGCTTTGTTCCTTGTCTGACAGATCAGATCGTATAAGCCAATTTCATCATCTATCAAACCCCAGTCTTCGTATTCACGTATTCGACAAGATGCTTTTCCGAACCATCGCCTCCATCGCCTTCCTGGCTTCCGCCAGCAACGCCGCTTCTCAATCTCAGGTCCAGCCTTACAAGCTGATCAAGGCCCCCGTTGAAGGTCTTAGCTTCGGCCGCCGTTCGACTCCCGGATACCAGCCCGATCAGTCTGTCTGCGGTGGTGGCGGCGACACTTGCGCTGATGCTTGTGGTGCTGGATTCGAGTCTTGCCCTTCTGAAGACAACCAAACCCATTGCTTCAACCCCATGGCGAAACAGTCTTGCTGCTTTGACGGCAGTGGAAGTAAGTTTTATGACTCGACTATAGAGATTGGCACAACATTATGAACATCCCGAATACTAACATTCCTTCAGACTCATGTGATAAGGGCTTCTACTGCTCTCACGACACCAAGGCTCAGACCTGGTGCTGCCCTGATGCTATGGATCTTGCTGAGTGTGCCGCTGCGTATGGCGTAGAGGATGGCCTCAAGACCGAGAGGCTCTTAACCACCACTGCCACTACCGCTGCTGAGACCACCTCTGCCGAGCCCACTACCACTGCTGTCCCCACCACCACTGCTGTCCCCACCACTTCTGAGCTTGAGACCACCTCTTCTCAACTCGAGACCACTTCGACAACTGTCTACATCACCAGCACTTCTCTGGCCTCCACATCCACCAATGCTGCCACAACTACTGTTGCCCCTACCACCGAGCCCGCTGTTGTTAAGACCACGACAAAGGCTGACGAGACCACCATCGTTGCCCCTAGCTCTGGCTACAGCACGGCCTGGAGTGGTTCTAACAGCACCATTGCCACTGCCGCCCCTACTCAGCCATCTGAGTCTGCCCCTGGCTCTGTTGAGCCTTCAAGCATCAGCAGTGGTGCTTCCCTCACCGGCATGAGCGCCATGCTCCTCGCCGCTGCTGGTGCCTTTGCCCTCCTCTAAATATAGATCTGTTATGTGGAACGCTGGCCCTCGTAAGAGGCCACTTGAACACGGCGCCAATGGCAAATAATGAGTCTATGATGAAGAGAGCAACGGTACGTTTCGTATACGGGAACACGTTCAGGAGGATGCTCGTTGGAGATTAAACTAGTGGTGCAATGTTGAGTTGCATATTCTTCTGATGAAATACCCCCTTTGTCGAATACCCTTCACCTACCACTTTTACCGGAGTTGACCGGCTTGGTGTTTTTGGTTTGGAAAAGAGCATGGCGAGGATGAGTTGAAATGAAACGAGAAACGCTCAGCGCTTGGAACATGAAAGGAAGCTACATTCTTACACTTGGTACGCGGTCGTCGTATACCTATTTATACCTTAAATTCTAGTTACTATTGGACACTGCGAGAGCTCAGTCTTAGCCTCGTACGTGACATCAATAATTGGCCTGGTAGTTAATTTTGCTCACCATTGCATTCACTTCATAGTTACAAGTTTGTCGTGTCTGTGACCAAACCCCAATGTTTTTTGTAAGCACGTTTATATTGCCTAGCTATGAGTGAGGAGTGGACAAGCACTTCAGGACGCATGGATATGCTGAACAGATCTACGATCATCCACCAGCTCGATAGCCGAGAGTTGCCTTCAGGGTTCTAGGATGGTACGAGCTGTTAGAGAGTCCACATTTAAACATCAGAAAGGAAGATACAGACGGTTCACTGGAGGGTAATTTGTTGTGTAAACTGCCTAGCACTGGCATGCGCATGAGCTGCCCAATGTTAATGTTGGATCATAAAAGTAAGCATTACGTGATACTTGACCTCCAAGTTTGAACATAATCAACTATCAGCCGTGCTGCCACCTGTGACCAGCAGTGAGAATACGTAGAGAACGTTAAATCAAGAGAAAACAGCCTGTTCAATCATCTGACTTGTATGTTATACAAGAACACATGCATGGTAACATGTAGGCAATACCAAATGACGTAAAACGAACGGGTATGATTTCTCTTCAACTAAGTATAGTATACGCTTTCGACAGCGTAAGAATGGGAACCCAAAGGGGTTCTCCCTGTTTCACTCGATCCAACATTTATAGGTTTCATATGCATCTCGTTATTCCAACTCTTGAATTAATTTCGTTTCATCGTTGAGAGTTTATCTATTTCGTAGAGGATAAAAAGGTCGCACGCTTTAAGCGCCAACGGTCTCGGGGACCTTGTTGGCGTCGTAGCCGTGGCTCACCTTGAGCTTCTCGACGAGCTCGACATACTTGGCCTGAGCGGCCTCAGGGGTGAGCTTGTCTTCCTCGGCGACCTTCTTCCAGGCGTTGTACTTGGCCTTGCCCTGGGCTTCGGGTTAGTTTTGCCGTAGGATGTATAAGGCGGGGGGTATAGCTTGCCTTCATGTCGAACATGCCAGGCGCCGTGGCCTTAGAGAAGTCCTCGCCAGTACCGACCTTGTAGAGAGCTGCACATTATGTATTAGCTGAGGAACGTGGACTCAGGGTAAATGGAGCTTCACCGTAGAGCTCGAGGAGCTCGGTGGGACCAGGCTTGGAGGTGAGCTTCTTGGAGTCCTCAACGGCCTTCTTGAAAGATTCGCTCTGGGCAGACATGGTGATAGTATTGGTTGGTTGGTTGGTGGAGAGTAGAGCAGGATTGTTGTAGAGTTTCAGTTTTTCAAGATCAAATTCAGAGAAGAAGAAAGAGGAAGAAAAGAGGTGTTGGGATCCAATGTTTGTTGAGGAACTTGGCTTCTCCCGGCGGGCGGGTTTAGTTATAGCGGGGTCATGGGACTGGATTCAGTTCATCATTAGGGAGGGGCGGTAGGATTCGACAGTGACGTCGTGAGCTTCTATTGGCTACTTTTCATTGATGAGGGGAGGTTTTGGTCAGTGACGGTTTGGGGGATCAAGGGACCTGCCGAGGAAGGAAAGGAGATGCTTATTGTAATAAATTTAAGAAGCACGTGGAAAGCAGAACATCATGTATGCACTATAACTGGAATGATACCTGCAAAGAAACACACCTGGGACCCCGTTTCAGTATAGGATTTGTTCAAAACAAAAACCGAAGAGAATAATGATCCGATTCAAGAGTTACTTATCAATCCTATGGCTAGAAACATGTCGACGTTCGGTGTGACAGTTGGCAGAGCACAACAGCAGCATGACAGCATGATAAGATAGATACGAAAAGCTGCGATAGCTTCAATGAAACCTCAAACTCCAACGAGCCTGAAACACAAGCCGTTGCGGAAAATTCATTTGCTACATGACCTTGAACTCGTCATAGACACCGCTTTCCGAGACTATGGGGACGGAATAAGCTCAGCTAACGTTATCTGCCGGCATGAAACCTGTCACTTCACATGTCTCTCCACGGCTATCTATCTTCCTATTCTACAAAAACAACAAATAATTGAAGAAACTACGAAAAGAAACTCCTCAGAAGAACAATTATAAATTCTTATTCCCTTTGAATTGACCCGTCAAAATGACCAAAACTGTAGTTGTCTTGGGTGGGAGTTTAGGCGGTATGGCGGTCACCCATCAGCTTCTCAAGTACACGCGGCCTCACCAGGAAGACCTTAAAGTCATACTTGTTTCCAAGGTACCTACTCATACTGGACTCGGGGAATATTCACACTTCAAACAACTGACAGATTTGCAGAACAGTCATTTCTTCTGGAACCTGGCTTCCGTCAGAGCCATCATCACAGGTGCTATAAAAGACGAAGAGATCTTTGCACCTATTCAACCTGGACTGGACCAATATCCTGATGGAAGCGCCCATTTCATCGTCGGTACAGCATCGGCCGTTGATCCTGAAGCTCGCACCGTGACTGTTGAGCCGGAGACTGGGGCCAGCACGAAGCTGAAGTATGATCACCTTGTCATTGCTACCGGTGCCGAGACCGTCGATCCGTCACTCCCATGGAAAGCCTCTACCTCACACGAAGAGCTCGTAGCCAGTCTTCGCCGCACTGCCGACAAGGTTGAGAGAGCCACACACGTTGTTGTTGCCGGAGCCGGAGCCACAGGCGTTGAGCTTGCGGGCGAAATCCAATTTGCCTACCCTTCGACCACTGTCCTACTGATCTCAGCCGAGGATCAGATTCTAGGAGGAGACCAAATCGCCGGCCGTGCTGAATCCGAGCTTCGTCGTCTAGGAGTTGAAATCCGTGCCGGCCTACGTTCCGAAGAGACTACCGAACTTCCTGATGGCAAGACGCTAGTCAAGCTATCGAATGGAGAGACCATAGTGACAGATGTATTTCTCGCAACTATGGGGCTACGGCCGAATTCTGGATTTCTACCCAAAGAATGGCTCAACGAACATGGCTACGCAGACGTGGATGATGAGTTGCGCGTCAAAGCCACAACTAATGTATGGGCAGTTGGAGACATCGTATCCAAGCCTCGTGCCTCTTTCTTGATTACGGAGGCACAGGCCGCTGGTGTTTACAAAAACATCGATCTTGTACTCAAGAGTAAGGAAGCCCAGCCTGTGAGTGGCCCTCGCGTGGATGCTTTTCTGTGCGCAACCGGTCGAAGTCGCGGAGCTGGAAGGTTAGGCAAAGTTCCCGTGCCATCGCTAGCTGTGTGGACGGTCAAGGGTCGAACGTTGGGTATTGAGCGCACAAAAAAGTACGCCACTGGGAGTATGTGGTGATAAGAAGTACTAGGTAGTGGTGTAACGCCTGATATCCTATTCAAGAAAGCGCCATGATATTCCTACAAAGAAAACGCAACATACCCGCCCCGTAGTCTAATTAAATTCGCCTATCCTCGCTTCTCATCTTCAATCTCCCTCCGGATTTCTGCCAGAACTTGCTCGCGCGTCCTCAAGTGAGTCTCCAGACCCTCAACCTGCTCACGGACCGTCTGGAGGTCCTCCTGTATGCTCTTGAGACCCCCCCCAGCCGCGCTCTTGCCAGTTCCCTCCTCTAGCTCCCTGAGCTCTCTTCGCTTGTATTCCAGAAGCTGGTCTAGTTCTTTTTTAACGAGCGCAGGCTTGGAGTCGCGTTTGCCACCTTTCCGGCGCTCCGCGATCTCCTCCACCTTCTTTACCTTATCATCAAGGTCCTGAAGCTTGCGCTTCAAGCGAACCTCCTCCCAATCTTCCGTCTTTTCTGTTGAGAAGTCCGTGCCGGCAGTTTTGAAGCCGCTTCGGCCCAGGCGCGTTAGATACTGATCGCCGAACTTGGCCTTACGGCCGGTGCTGGTGGTATCGTCCGCCTTGGTGGCCCATCGCGAGTTGGCGCCGGTTCGTTGGTTATCAACTTGGTAATCAATCTGGTTGCGCTCGAAGCTGGAACGAAGAGAAGCCGGAACGGCACGGGGGATTCGAAAGCCCTCGTGTCGGTAGTTGAGAATATGTAAGAAAGCAAGGCATGCATCCTTGTTGATGGTCGATTGCGCCGAAGGGTTGATTAAGTTCCAGGCGGATCGAATATCGGTATCAGGGACGTCAAGGGACTCGTATAGATCGCTAAGCGCATTGACTGGTATTGTTAGTCATGTTGTCCATAGTTGAGATCCGTAGACATACAGTCAACCTCGCCGCGCGCATTTCTGTTCTCTTGGTAGATCTGTTCATATTTGGACTTGTCCGCAGGCTTCATATACCACTCAAACCCATCCTTGAGCCCAAGATCTTCCGAATCATCCTCGACTTGCTCGAACTGCACCTGCTTTCCTGTGATTGCTTGAGTAGCTTGCACCAGATGAGCCTTGGACTCGGGGACGAGCCAATCGGGCAGTGTCGTCGGCACATCCGCGTATTCCTGAAACATGTGAGCTGCTGTATCGTATATTTGTTCGGCAGATGTATCGTACTCCATTCAAAATATCAAAGATGATGCGCATAGCGACGCAAAACTCCTCAAAATCAAGGTTTCCATCATTATCCACGTCCGCGAGGTCCCATACTCGCTCTAGTTGATCGTCGCGTAGTCCACTGTTCTTCAAAACAGGAGCAGCTTGTTCACCTGTAAGAAACTTGCCGCCTCCTGTCCGAGTGGAGAAGATATTCCAGTAGGTCTCGATTTCCTGTTCCTCAATCTTGGGCGCCATGATTACGTCTGTGGGCTCTGAACAGCCTGGTGAATAGGGATTTGGAAGAAAGTCAAGAAAAAGAGCGCGTATCGTTTGGGAGACGAGGAAATTATGGCAATCGTTTTGGCGGCGACCGCAGAGTAACAATTAATAGAGAGGCGACGAGGCCGGATACTAAGGGTTGGTAGGTAAGGTACCTAAGGAAGGTTGAGTGAGGTTGAATGACGAAGCCGTAGCTATCCTCTCCAGCCACTTCCCCTGATGGATGCCCTGGCACCTGGCATCTGCAGCCCCCGCTTAGCCAATATCCAAATTAGCGCATAATCTTACTGGGCGGTTGACGAGTGGTAGAATTGAACCTCTAAGTTGAACGAATGTGTGATGCTAATTCTAGATTGCTTTGAGTCCATTGGACTGCAGAATCAACACATGGCTTATAACGGCTCGTCCAGTAAGGGGATTAAGAGATATGTTAGTAGTAGATCCTGGACAGTAATGACGATAAATCCTATCAGCCTGTTTTTAATAGTTCCAGTACTACCTATTCAACACGGTGAACAGGGTAGACAGCTATAAACAGATGCAAATATAGAACTATCCAACACAACCTGTCACTTTCGGGGTCGATCATGCATTTATATGTCGGTATTCAGGTATCATCCATTCTTCACTGTCTACTGGGTAGCAGAAAAAATGGCCTCCTAAATCTTATGGTATAAAAATAAGTAGTCTAAGAACTATAGCCTAAAGGGCATAAAGTGACCTACTAATTTCGTCTCTTATGCTTCCAGCGGTCAATTTTTCTGATACCCTGAGGACTGTCTGGCCTGACGCTAAAACTAGAAGAGGTTCACCGAGAACCGGCTGTCACTGACTGGCCAACAGCCACAGCAGGCTTTCAGTGGTTGAGCCCCACTGCCCAATTCGGTAGGAACCTGGAGAGAAGCGTCCCTGGACTCAGTTCTAAGTGGCTGCATTTGAAGTTGCATGTGGATCAAATTGCGGGTGGAGGGGCGCGGCTGCCACACCCGATAACATTTTTGGAGGGGCAAAGGCAAGAGCGTGTGAAGCCAGTGACCCTTAAAATTAATCGTTGGGTCCTTCAGACCGCTCGCCTTTATTTCTGTCCTTTATATACTCGCTTGGCGCATTGTGGTTCTTTCAAGCTTCGCATACGACTGCTTACTCTTTACCCAACGGCTTCTGATACTGTCTAATTCAAAATGTCTACAACAACTACCACAACCAACCAGCCTATCACGGCCGAATCTATGCTCCGTCTCTTTCCTGACATCGATACCAGCTCAGAGCCTCTCTCTGGTCATGACGAGGAGCAAATTCGTCTCATGGACGAGGTCTGCATTGTTCTTGATGAGAACGACAAGCCCATTGGCACAGCTAGCAAGAAGATCTGTATGTCAACTTCACTAGGTCCGCTAGTAGATACCCCTTACTGACTTGGGTCTTACCAGGCCATCTCATGACCAACATCGACAAAGGCCTCCTTCACCGTGCCTTCTCCGTCTTCCTCTTCAACGACAAGAACGAACTCCTCC